GTGCACTGCATACTCTCCCTTCCCCCCTTACTCCCAGTACTTATATCTTACCTTATTAGGCTCTTTCAATAATTCAGCAGGTTGTCCTAAAGTTGCTTGCCGATAGATCCCACAGCCCTGATTAAGTTAATGTATGGTCAGAATTATATGAGACAGTTGCAGTAGTTGTCATGCCCGGTTGTCAGGGCATGAAAATCTCTGCAGTGGAATCTTATTTCAAGGCCGGTCCCGCCCTCTTGTATCCAGGGGCAGTGGGAGAAAAATTCCTCCCCCTCCAGGTCCTAAAGCCTGAAATGATAGCCCTGTTGGAGCACTCAGACACCTGCAGTGACCCATAACAAAGTTACCCCTCATTACTCACTGTGCACTGAAACACATGATAGTTTCCCATTTAGTATATAAGCCAGTTTTACCAATAGAATACACTATTGGTGGTAAAACTGATTTTAAATGGATATGTATTGCATCATTGCATTATCACTAAACTCATGTACAAGGCAAAACCAACTTTGAAAAATGCTTGGCATTCAGTGTTACTCCTTCCGTTGGGCGTGTGCTGGCGCTGACAAGTAGTGTTAATTAATGATCTTTATATTATTGTTGTCTCAGTGCTTTAACTGCCCTTTTTTTCCTCCCTCCCCCACCCTGTAATTGCACCTCTGCCAGCCAGATCTGAGACGTCATAGGGGGGNNNNGGGGGGGGGGGGGGCGTATCCAGAGGTTTAAAGTGAATTAACAAAGGCGTAAAAGTAGGCCTATCCCTCAAGAACCTTGTTGTATTTTAGCATCTTGAAATCAGTAAGCCAATGCTTTAGCTTAACTTCCCATTGGTTGTCAAAGTGTTTAGTAATGACAGGAAATTTTTTTAATTCAAACAAAATCATGATATGCATAATTTCCTGTTAGATATACACTGTTTGCCAGGAAAAACAACAAGTTACAAGTAACTCAAATAAATAATCTAAAACACTGATGCCTGAAATCCGGTCACATTATGTTAGCTGCAGTGGGACATACAGTAAACGCAGCACACAGCAAGATGTTCTCTGAAACCATATCACTCCATCTAACAATAACATAGCCTCAAGCCTCACTACATCTCTGATACCTCAGTGTTATAAGAAACACCACCACTGACACCTTGATTGTGTCAGAGAAGTGGTTTTACCTGACTGAACACCTTATGGTGAACTTGGCAGCAAATAGTATGTGATACTGTGAAAACTGCAGCCCAGTTATACAGATACATCTGCTGAGAGGAATTTTGGTGCTGGTCCCTTGAACACAGTAGAGAGACAGACAGCATCTGTTGGGGTTTCTATCTGATCCTTCCTATAACTATCAGTTATTGTCTGTGTGAGTTTAACTGAAGCCCTCCACAACAACAGAGTACCAAAGAAAAATGTCCTTGTTCAGTAACTTCTGCAGATGTATTCAGTATTGTAGAAACATTTGGAATGAATCCATTAAAAATAGTCAATACAGTCAGTTCAGTATGTATACATCTGATATGTAAAATGGAGTATGGGAACAGAATGCTATGGTCGCATATTTTCCCATGAAAGCTTCCTTCTCTGTGCAACCAACCCCCCCCCCCTGCTTGGGAGACACTGTGTTTGGAGGTGGATCAGGCAGGACAAGACAGGAAGTTACAGAAGGAGCGGATGCATGTCCGGTATAACACTGCTCCTGCTCTCTTTTTAGCTGTTGTTATGCACTTTAGGCCTGATGGAAAAATATTCATACATGCAGAACATTTTATCACACACACAAATTCTGTATCTGTTGTTAAAGCATTAAAAAGGTACAATAAATCTAGAGGTGGGAGAGAAACAGATTTTATATCTTCAGTAGATCTGTCAATAGGTTAAATTCAAGATGATTTGTTTATATTTCTGTGACTTCTCTAATCCTCTATGAAGCAGGACACTTGTTTGTAAATCTATTACAAACAGTTCCAACAGTGGTTTGCAAGATTATTTTCCTTATTTTATAGAGAAAGTAGTCTTATCCCAGTGTTGGAAATGAAGCAGCTGTTTTAATAAAAAATTCTAAAATGCCTGGTGTCTTAATTTAAGACAAAGCCAAGCAAAACTGGCATACCCCATTGGCATGATTTTTTTTTTTGCTGAATACAAGAAAGCTTAATTATATGTATGAATATTTTACTTGTTTTTGCACACTTCTAATCTAGATATGATATGATGAAATACTTTAGAGGGAAAGATAAATAATTGGAGCTTTTTGTTTCTTACTTTTGTTAGCTTTGCAGTTTCAAAGTCTGTTGCACAACAACTATCATACTATTGTATTATTCAATGCATGTCAGGTACGGTAGGAACCTGATCTTATGTCTCTATTACATCGCACTTTGACTACAGTAACTACATGAAACTTTTTTTAAAGGAGTAAACAAAGTGGGCTTTGAAGACATATTAAAAAACCTGACTCTTCCCAAAACTCTAGATTTCCCATAATGCAACTTTTTGTTAGACTTCCCCAGCCTGGTAACTTCCTATTTTAGTCATTTGAATGTCTCTGACAGTGGTTATTTGTTATTGATTAATTCATTTATTCGCTGTTCCTGTTTACCATATTCCTAATTGCCCTCCCTTAGGCCTTTTCTGTTCATCATGACAAAAAAAGTGAAACTTCATGTTAATTAATTTAAATAAAAATCTTTATCACCATATTAACAGATTCATGTGGCATTATCTGATCACATTAGCTCTTCTCACCATCATTTAAAAGAGTGTCCAACAGTACAGTGGGTGCAGGTGCCCTCTGCTGGCTGAAATGCTAACTTTCAGCTGAGCAGTGTGAGTACTTACCATCACCACTAGAGGCCGACAAAGAGCTAACAATAAAAACAAGAGGCAGCCTTCTCTTTTCACTGCTGTTAGTGCTACTGCCAGGTTATGGTCACTGTCACCACCACTGCTGTCATCATATCACACAAAGGAATGAAAATATTTTAGTTACACTGTGATGACTTGAATTACATGGACAAAATTAAACCTATAAAGCAGATTTGGAATGACCTATATTCGGTTTCAGTATAATGCCTCTCCATGTTTCCACATTCTCATTCAGTGACACCATCACTGGACCAGCATGCATGTAATCTGCAAGAGAACTTGTAGTTGAGGGACCGTCACTGTCCGCTGCTAAATTGTTTGGGATTAAAGGGATCTGACGTAATTATCCCAAGCCAAGGGTTAATCTCTGTGCTGGGCCTGGAATAGATCTCCTACAAGACCTAACTCATCTGCTCTACCTCTTTGCCAGGTGTTGGCAATACACAGCCTCCTAAGTCTTGTATTGTGATGTACAATTTAGTGTTGCATAATTTTTTACAACAATCAATTTAAAATATGTAGTTGCACTCATGTGAACAGAAGAGGTGAGCACTGCCATGTTCAGACGCTTTGTGATGAATCAATTTAAGATATTTCTGACCACTTAGAGTCATTAAAACCTTTCAAAGCGACTGAATAATGACTGAAAAGTAATGCCAACAAGGTATGTATGAGTGTTTGTCTTTAGATATCCAATTTAACTTTGCATGAGGAGACATCATGAAATGCAGCAATAAATTGTAATTTGTGACATCTTCTGATATCCCCCTTCTCATATGTGCTTGGTGGAAACTCTCCCTCACAGCGTTGCGCTCCACCAGCCCCTTTCCAAACCTCCTCACCCCCTCCTCTTGTAGTTCTGTAGGTGAATTCCAGGAAACACTAACATTTCCTAGAGAGGGGGGCCTATGTATGCCAGGCCTCCTTGGCAACTACAGCCTCCCTACAGAGAAGTTTAATGAAATTATTCCTCTCTTATCCCCCTTTGATCTCCCCCTCCTGACATCTCCACTCACACTTAAAACCAGCAACATACTTGATTTAACCCTCTCAACACACCGCTAAACTCCAGCACATGAGACCAATTTGTCCTCACCGTCAAATAACTTCAGATAACTTCTCATATGAGTTGTCCCTTCCCACCTCCTCCCCTATCTCCTCTGCTTCAGTCCTCTCATGCCTCTGCAATTTTAATATCCATAATGCCAAATTTATGGTGTAAGATTTTTGCCTGCAGAGAGGAGTGAAACTAACTTTTGTGTGATATTTCAGTTATGTTTCCTTGCACTGCAGACACTAAACCATACATTTTGTTCTATGGAAGTCCTATCTTGTTTTTTCTCGAAAGTTCCTCAAGCTGTGTTGAAAAAAAGTGTCTGCAACTTTAGTAAAGGGAATCCTTCACTTTATTTCAGAATGCTATTATTGATTGAAAGTGAGCCATCAACCTGTGACAATTGACTGTTGGGAAGTGTTTTGCAGTGTAATTATTTTAAATGAATCCAACTTGAATTCACTTTTTATAAAAGTTTTATGAATTTTGATTTAAGGTGTCAGCAGTTATTAATACATGATATACTAATGCTTTATAGATGGGTTATAAATCATTAATAGGAACAGAATTTGGGTTGGCAGGTTGTGAAAAATCCCTTTGGTTGATGTCTGTCCTTTATATTTGGTAACATTGTTGTTTCTAATGTTGGCTATCTCTTAATAAAGGATTAACAGAAGGTGTAAGTCAAATGGATTTTCATTTATTTTCAATACATTGAATCGTAACCCAGGTATCGTGATACATATCTTATCGCCAATACACAGCCCTAATAAATGACCACTTATAAACCCTTAATAAAGGGTGCCTTTTGAGAAAGTGATACTAAAATGTTTTTAGGAATAATAAAACTCATGGCACTACCAGGAATCATTAGAATAACTAGAAAATCATTTATTTGCTCCACCAATGCAGTCCTGCTGCTCAGGTCCTTTTACCTCTGACAGTCACCATGCACACTATAAAAGGTTCCCATTTGAACACACAGGTCAGCTGTGTGGTTGGAGTAAAACCTGTTTAGAGGAATATTCTTTGCAGTGTGCCCACAGCTCCACCCACACCGTGTCGGACGGATTACAGTTTTTAACTCTTCTATGAACACTGAAGGAACGTCTCTATTCAAGGAGAAACTATCCTGTGATTAATGAGAACATTTTATTATTTAAAGCGTTCAGGCTGTTGCGTTAAAACCGGTCTTTGCAGTTCGGGTCTAAAGAAGGCTGATGTGTGCCATCCGTCCGTCTCATCCGGTCGCTCAAAGTTACTTTAAAGACTTAAATGAATCCGTAAAGTCCAACTGTGAAGAGTCGACATTATGTCAACATCCCTGGAAATAACTGATTAACCGAGAGCTTCCGACCTTTCAGCACTGTCCGGGATATAAAGGCTGTCGTGGAGGTAAAGTAAGTGTTTGTGCGCACTTCATCGGATTATCTTCATATAATCTCAGTAACTGTCACTTGGCACTGTGGTTGGTTTTGAGAGCAAAGACAGAGTTGAGGGATCTGTCCTCACTGGGTGATGTTTTATAAACCTGAATGCAATCATATGTATTTTTTCCACTCAATCAATTAGTCAGATCAGCTGATCAATATTCTCTGTTATTGATTTAAATGCTATTATGGCCAATGTCAACAGAGCAGAGGCATGACCTTATATCACCCACCTTCTCCATACATTATGAATGATTAAAGCATAGTGGATGGGGACAGATCAGTCGTTGTCATATGTTTTCCTGCACGATGCTTGACTGACAGTTGTGAAATAATTGAACAAGTGCTTTAGTTTGCTGAGCAACTCCTCTGACACCTGCTGCTGTTGTGTAAGTGGCTTTGGTACAGACACAGAGAAGCCACGTTAGTGTTTGTTCGTACATAAATTAAGGATTGGTTACCAGTGGTGGACAGTACTCATTACTAGTAGTGGCTTTACAGTAAAAATATTACTCTCCCCATTAACTAGTATTGTAATTAATTATTAATACATTTCTGAAATTAATATTACAGTTTTCTCCCCAAAATATAATTAGTTACAATATATACTTATATTGTTACTTAATAATAATATTACTTATTTGAAATCCAACAATCCAATCACATCTTTTGATTTACTTTTTTAATCGTGGCAGAAACTAGTTTGGACACTAAAACACTTACATTCAGCGGTTGGAAATATTACTTTGAGTTTAACAACAAAACTGGATTTTAATGATCATAATTCTGAAGGGACACAATTACCAATGTTGTGGGGCGTATTAGAAAAGTAATATAACTAGTAGTGTAACTAATTACTGTTGGCAGGGAGTAATAAGTAAAGTAATGAAATTACTTTTGAAGAGTAATGAGTAACTAGCCCAACACTGCTTGTATATTACATATAATCCAGTTGTTTCTATATAGTTTCTTGATTGAATGTTTAAAGGACCAGCGTGTAGGATTTGGTGGAATCTAGTGGTGAAGTTGCAGATTGCTAGCTCACGTCTGTATTTGATGACCTGGGAATGAGAGCGGGCTGTGACGTGTGTAGGAGAAACTACAGTGGCCGCGAAACTCTTGAAAAATGCTAAAGGCTATATCTAAAGCCAGTGTCCGGGTTTTCCCTTCTGGGCTACTGTAGAAACATGGTGGTTCAACATGGCGGACTCCATGGAAGGCAAGGCGGTCTGTAGATAAAAACATCTCATTCTCATTCATTATACACTAATCAAACATATCTATGAATATTACATTCCATTTATGCCAATAGATCCTCCTAATTACAGACTGGACCTTTTAAGGCTGATTTATTGACCTGAAGTGTTTGGGGTTTTTTTTAGAAGTCTTAGACAACTTAGTGGTGATATCACCATCTTTGCAAATGAATCAAACTTTAATCACATTGCTCTGTCCTTTTGTCCTTTCAAATCTGATTAGTAGAAGACATATCTGACTAGCAATTTTCTTCTCTATCTGTGCCCTGGCCTTCCTGCGGCGCCACTTACATTATCTGTCACTTACATCGCCTTTAATAAATCAGAGGTTGCTTCAGAAGTGGCAGGTGTTGCTTGGCTGAACAGGGTCTCACTTTAACAAGCCTCTTGTCTTATGACCACCTGATGGATGCAGGAGAGTGCAGGAGGATGAAAAATGTCAGCATTTACTAAAATAACCTCACTGGCTTCAACAGCAGCTTTCTTTCCAGCCTGTGCCCTCATACTGCTGCCTGTGTGTGGATAATGAGCGCGTGGCACTAATGGAAACTCTATTTTTGGCTAAATCCACTGAAAGATTAAGGATACTATTAATGCATGCATATATAAATTTCATGAAGGAGTGAGCGATGGAATCCTGGAAAGAGGCGACAGTGACCGAGATAAAAGGCTAATAATAGACCGATATGGCTCTGTGGCAGTTGGTTGGCTGAGACTTAGTGGATTATTGTATTATTATTCAATGAGCACATAATTCTAACTCCATGGACAACATCGAGACAACAAGGTGCCTTGCAGCCTGCGAGGGGTTTCGACATGCAGTAACCAGGTTACCTCCTGGAAGCTGGCAAGAAAGTGAGGAGAGTAGTATAGTCCTATCAGGTAAATGGCAGGTTCATGAGAGGAAACTGGCCTGAAGCCAGTTGAATGAGAGGCCCGCTGAAAGCCCACAAGAGAGAGCTTTGTCGTAGGCTGAGTACAGGTGAACCTGGTAATATATAGAGGGCTCTCTTCCTCAAAAAATTTGGAAGTGCTGGCTGTGAATGCAACAATAACAGATGTACAAAGTGCAGTTCTTGGTGGGAGACTCTACAGTACACACAGTGTAACAGAAGCTAAAAGAAATAGAAAATAGATTAAAAATGAATAGCACATTAGAGCTGAGAGTCCAATCAACAGTACAGTTCCTGCTGCTGTAAATACAGCACACTGCTGACTCATTACAGCCAGTATACGGTAGCAAATATCATAAACTACAGTGGACTTCTAACAGAGACAGCATCTAGTATAATAATCAGGGTTCATTGTACATTTCAAACTTCCATACTTTTCCAGACTCAAGTACAAATAGCTAGATGTTAATTAGTTAAAGAAATGGTTTTAAAGTTGCAGTAGGTAACTTTTCTTATTTTCTTATTATCACTCATATTTCCTGACACTTTCACTATATCCTGGCAGGAGCACATGAGACAGATAATCTGTGAAACAGTCAGGTTCTTTTGATAGACATTATGTCTATGTATGCCATTATGTGCTAAATAATTACTAATTATTAAGAGAAGATTGTAGTTCTGTACTGTAGCAATACAAATAAATGAACACCAAACCCAGACACAATAAATGTCCCCTAATATTTAAAGACTCTTTCATAAATAAGAACTCAAAATGAGTTTGAAAAAGTAAAATAATTTAATTTCACAGCATCTGTGCAGTCCTGTTTGTGATCTAATGTTGATCTATTATAGTCCTTGAAATGTAAAGGTTTGGGAACCCCTGGTCTAACAGTAGCTAATGGGTTATCAAATATATTGTTTTGGGGCGGCAGTAGCCCAGTGTGTAGGGACTTGGCTTGGGAACCAGAGGGTCACTGTTCAAGTCCCACAGACCACAAAATATGGAGTGTGGACTGGTAGCTGGAGAGGTGCCAGTTTCA